GTTTGGCTCAAAGTATTGGGTATACCGTGAATTAGCCGGGCACAGTGCTTCGAACCAAACTTATGTCTTCTTTTGCTATCCCTCCATTAAGGCATGGTCGTAGTAACTAAAAGGTCATTCTCCCAATTAATGTCATTTTGGATTTTTGATGGGTCTTTACGCTTGTCTTTGGACTGTTGACGACATATTGTGTTGGATTCTTTCTAGTTTTGAAGTTCACTTCCTGTTACTGGGTTATTCCGAATTTCAAGTCTCATTTTTTGGGTGCTTTGTATCCGAACTATAGTCAGAATTTCTTGTCCCTTAATTTGGGCAGTTCCTCGCAAGTAAGAGGTCTTGTGTTATTTGTTCATTCTACTTACTGTACCCATGGTGTTATATTTTTTGTATCTCATCTAATCATGTAGGATTGTTCATATTTTCTTTGGTCTTACCTTAGACCCTTTGTTTTGGCGTTCTGTCACATTCATGGTTCTATATTAGTTTTGCCCCCCTTGATTAATTGGGTTTGACTTGCTCATTTTTCTTAATTCACTCTGATGTCTGACAATACAGGGTAATTGTGCCTCAAAATTTCTGAGTATTCCTGGGTATGCAGGTAGCACATTTCTGTAATCATGGCTGTGTGACTTGGTGGCCCCATTTGCAATAGCAAGTTCTATGTACTTTAAAATAATTGCCATAAGTCAATGATAAATACTTATTGTACTCAAACTAGTCAGGGCTAGTAATTCTAAAATTTGCCATGATCATGACTCAAAGTCCAAAAGTAATAGAAGCATTGGTATTTCTAGCTTGTACTGGATATGCATCCTACTCCATGTGTGTAACTTCTTGATCACCTTGTTTCAGCATCTTTTTAGAATTGCTTGCAGTGAACATATGTCAGTGCATACTTGTGTAATAGCTTTATGTAATTACCCTAATCTTTCCTATAGGATTTAATTTTGTGTCCTTTTATGAGTCTTACCTTGGTCACTCTACCATTAATGACCTATTTGTGTTGGATGCAATCCAGTTCTTTTAAATTTCCTTTTTTCTGTGCTTGCTTCATTTTCATGTTCAATCCTCATTCCTTTTGGTGTGACAACATTTTCAGACGTTAGTTTCAAAGTATTTGGTATACTGTGAATTGGTCTTGAACCAAACAAAAGTCAGAATACGTTGTCTCCCTAACAGAACAGGTGCTATCGCAAGTGAATGGCTTGCCTTATTTGTTAATTGTGCTTGTAAACTACCCTTGTGTGTTAGAATATCTGACAATCTTACTTTTAATGGTAATCATATTGGATTGTATTTTCTATGGTCTTATGACCTTTGTTTCTTTTCAATCTTTTAATGTGTTTTGGTCTTGTCTATGACCTTTGTTTTTGAGTTCTCTCACTCTTTTACTATGTTAAACTTTTTACTCAAGCTAGTTTGGTCCATTAATTCTAAAATTTGCTATGATATTTAATGTTCAAGTAATAAAAGCATTGGTATTTCATGATTTTACTCTTTATGCTGGTGACCTTTTGAAAACAAATCTAAACACTCTCCGAATGTCTGAACGGTGGTGCAATGAATGCTATGGCCAACTTGTGAAAGAAAGATTTTATG